CATCAGACACAGGGGAGGCTTCCAGCAGCTTCTCACAGAAGCCCCCCCTGTAACCCCTCCGCTACCAACCCCTCCCCATGCAGAGCTGATGCACTGCTCTCTCAGAAACAGGTAGTTCTTAATAAGAAAACTATCCAGCGCTGACAGAGTGTGTGGGTGGCTTGGATCAGTCCACTTCCCTGCTGGCCCACTCCTGACATCACACACTCGAGCAGTTCTGCAACGGGCTGCTACCTCGCCGAAGAGTGAGACAGGTCTTGGGAAACAACACCACAACTGTCTTGAACGGGTGATGTGTGTCCCTGCTCTGAACTGTGACTCCAAACAGGAGGCGTCTAGTTTCTGGAAAGGGGGTGAACCCAGCGCGTGGATTCCTGCTCAACCACCCAAGTTCGTATGCTTGGCCGTTTTCTGGAAAGGCTAATTTTATTGTGTATTTTGTCTATGTACATACAAAACCTGACAGCTGGTAATCCATACAGTAAATTCAAAGAAGAAATTTCAGTAATTCCTAGACTGCAAAACCCATCATTTCTTAAGCTCTTCATTCACTTCCCTCCAAATCTTTTCCTCTATTTTTGAAGTATCATATTCTCGCAGCATATCGAACTCTAGCCACGGCTGGCTCCACTTCTGTGCTTCTTTCATTTTTTCTTCAGGTAGCTCAAACTTTATTCCTTTTATATTGTATTTTGGCCTTTCCCACCGTTTTGACCATGGTTTAGGTTTCATTCGTACCTGCAGCTAAAGGTGAAAGATTTAAAAAACAGTAATACAAAACAATCAAAAGGTGTTATGTAATCAGAATTTTGGGAGCTTAGCAAACAGCTGCTGCTCTAACAGAAGGAAGTAAGAGAAAACAGATCAATTTGTCAGTGTGTTAAGGAACTGCTACTTTACACTGTTAGGAGAAAAGGAATTTTTTGTGTCCACGTTACTGGACACATAGTATCATAGTTGTCAGAGTATCTTGTACAATTTCCTAATGTAACACTGTCTTGATTACACAGTCTTTAAATTGATGCACAAAGTGATGTTAACTCATCTTCTGTAGTTCTACTCCTGTTCCTGGTTAAGGAAAAAGGGAAGTAGCACCTGTTCCTGTGGTGAGGCACTCAGACAGGTTGCCCAGAGAAGCTGTGGATGCCCTATCCCTGGATGTCTTCAAGGCCAGGCTGGATGAGGCTTGGAGCAACCTGGTCTAGTGGAAGGTGTCCCTGCCCATGGCAGGGGGGTTGGAACTAGATGATCTTTAAGGTCCCTTCCAACCCAAACCAGTCTGTGATATGAAAGGGAGGAACGATCACTGTAAGCAACTGAGTTACTGTAACACTCATGGGGTCTGCTGGTTTCCTGACCTACGAGATGCAGATTTTAGCTGACTCTTCCCATCTTCCCTTCTTTCCTGACACCTACCACTCCAAATCCGTAACAACATTAACAATATTTCTGTAAGAAAAGCTTTACCCTCTGCACAGTGTTCTGTTGAGGCATGTGGAGTACACTACTCCTTGCACATCTTCTAAATTAACTACTAAGGGTAGTAGGTATTCACATTCTCAACATTTCTCCACTACAGAAACGGCATAAAGATTTGCCGTATTTTGTACACTGTTGTCACCCTGGTCACTAACATAGCAAAGAGCTGTTGAACAGCCTTTCAGAGTATCACTCGGAGATGACAGTAACCGACACGATCCTCTGCGTTCCCCCTTGTAGCTCCTACCTTGTTAACAGGAATTTCTTCGTGGTCTAAATGAGTGACAGGTTTCATATTCACATCGAAAGTACTATATTCAGGGAGGGCATCTCGCAGGTACATCAGGTTGTCATCCAGCCTCTTTTCCAGCTTCAGAACCTCAATTGCCTGGATTCGAGGACTGTACAGT